CCACGCGGTGGGGACCAAGTCACCGCGCGATCGGAGCTGCTGTCGTTACCCGCCTCATCACCGGTATTCCCACCACATGTTCGACGACCACGTCCGGTTCACGAGGCCGTTTCAGAGGCTTCACCAGCGCCGACTCGTCGGCCACAGCAACGTGGTCCACAGCGTGATGTGGAAGGGGACGTGCAACAGGATGAATCTGGGCGGACGGCCGTGCAGCACGCTATGGAGCAAGAGTTGGCTGCGGCCCGTCGCCAAGTGAAGCACGTAGCCGAAGACCTGTCAGCACCCAAGCCATGGACACTGCGCTTCGACGGACCGTGTCGCCGGAACCCAGGGCCAGGAGGAGCAGATGCCGCGCTCTCCAACCCTAGCGGGACGGTGGTGTGGACGTGCTAGCACTACATGCCGAGCAGCGGCAAGACGAACAACACTGCCGAGTACACGGCACTGCTGCTCGGCGTGCAGAGCGCTTACCATCACGGCGCAACATCCTTGGTGATCGAGGGAGACAGCCACCTGGTAGTGTCGCAGGTACGAGGTACTTTCGCGTGCAGGAACCAACGCCTACGGCAGCTGCGCAACCGCGTGCGCCACGCGCTTCGCTCGGTGACCAAGTTCACGCAACAGCATGTCGACCGGAAGGCTAACGCCCATGCCGACCGACTAGCAAACCGAACACTCGACATGAAGCGCACGCTGGTGGAGTGCGGCCGGCACCACGGTAGCATGGACCTCTGCTGGCACCCATCGATCACAGCGCCGACCCAGAACGTAATGGCGGCACCGCTACGTCGTTTGCCAGCGGCAGCATCCGGTCGTCATAGCGAAGTCGGCCTCCTCCACAACGAGGAGGCTGATATTGCAGCCCGTGACAACGGTGAAGTGTTCCCCACCCTGCCTATCGGACCAGCCCCCGCCCGGCAACCTCGGCTACGGCTACGGCTTCGGACAGAGGATGACCAAGAGACTGCAGCGGTGGCCTTGCAGGCCATGGCAGAGGAGCTTGCGTGCAAGATTGTTGATGCCGACAGATGGGCCTCGGGAGATGGCTATATCAGCGCTATCCCTGGCCGCATTAGGGAGGTGCTACGGCCATACACAACAGACCCTCCCCAGCGTCAATACCCACTGCAGCAACAGGGACAGCGCCCGCCTCGCGTAACGCGAAACCAGTGCGAGCACCGACTTGATGAGGCTATCGACGAAGTGGAGGTAACACAACGAGAGCGCCCGGACGACCGAACCTCCATCCACCGAGCGCGGCGACACGTTGGCCGCACCCGCAGCTCCATGCGGCTGCAGCCACTGCGCCAACGCTTTGGCCGAGAAGAACGCAAGTGTGTTGAGGAGATTTTGCGCACAGCATCGCCAGAAACAGCAGCAGAGGAGCACCTGGAGACGTGTTCCATTGACGCGACTACACTGCAGGAGCACTTTACGGCGGTCAGCACGCCCCGCATCAACTTCCTACCGGACGAAGCCTGCGGTGAAGAGTTCCGTCAAGCGATGGCCGACATCAGACAACCGACGGCGGAGCGTAACGCGCTCACGGACGAGTTGACGATGCACGAAGTGGAATACCAGCGCGCATAAGCGGCCGCGAACTCCAGCCCGGGCCTTGACGGCGTGGGCTACGACGTCTACAAGAAGTTCGCAGTGCAGTTGGCTCCGCTCCTCCACGCAGCATTTCAGTTCTGTTGGATCCACCGTCGGGTGCATGCCCTGTGGAAGGTGGTTTTCGTTCGACACATACACAAGAAAGGCAACCCCAACGACCCATCCAACTGGCGGCCGATCTGCCTCCAGACTGCAATCTACAAACTCTACAGCGGTCTACTAGCACGTCGGCTATCAGCATACCAGGAGGGGAATGCGCTGCTGCCAATGGCGCAGAAGGGCTTTCGAGCGTCTAACGGTTGCCACGAGCATAACTTTGTGGCAACCACGCTCCTGGACCAGACCCGTCTCATGCACCGCAAGCTGTACCAGGTCTGGTACGACCTGCGGAACGCATTTGGGTCCGTCCACCAAGACATGCTGTGGTATGTGCTGCGGCTTCTCGGTGTGGAACACGATTTCGTTGCTCGCTGCCACGACATCTATGACGACTCCTACTTCGTTGTCGGGAACGCCGTCGATGGAGCGACGGAAGCAGTGCGGCAGGAGGTGGGTGTGTACCAGGGCTGCCCATTGAGTCCCCTCCTGTTCATCGCAGCACTGGTGCCGCTGCTACGAGCGCTCGAGAAGCTCGACGGAGTCGGCGTTGCGCTGGCGGACGGCGTACGGCCCTGCGCCGCCGTCTACGCAGACGATCTGAAGGTCTTCAGTGACAGCGCAGCGGGGATCAAGCGCTGTCACGCAGTCGTGGAGATATTCCTCTAGTGGACGGGACTTCAGGCGAGCCCTGGCAAGTGCGCTCTTCTGGCGGTGACCCGAAACGCGTGCGGCAACCCCACCCACGACCAGGACCTCCACCTTATTGCTCATTTCGTGCAGAATCGCGTCAATACAAAATTCTAATGGTCAATCGCTCCAATCAAAACATATGACACCTGGAGTGATGTACTAAGTACGATTTGTACTTATCATGAGCACACTTTTTCCGGGATTGTCCGTAAAACCAACAATACTTATTACTAATACATGTAGTAGTATATAATATACTAGTATAGCAGCACCCTGCAAAAACAGGATGGCTAAGGGGGCGCT